AGCTGGAGTTAAACCACGACAGGTGTGTGCTGGAAGACCAATCTCCCACACCTTGGCTTATGTGTAATGCAGTTGTAACTTGTAGCATATTCACAATGAGTAAAATCGAATGAATCTGGAGTTCTGATCATTGGAGGAGTGCTGTTCTTGGCACAAAAGCAAGCTCTGGAGGCGGCAAGAAGTAGGTGCCGCGTGATTTAAGGTTCCTATCCACAAATGAAATGAAGTTTTCAGCCGTTAAAGAATAACGCAGAATTGTAAGCTGTGCGAACAACTCATGTGCAAATTGGTCTAGAGAGAAAAAGAAGAGGATTTGTATGTTTTTGTTAGGTTTTATCCTGGGGAAATAGCTCTGCTGTGAAAGTGAGGTGTATTTGCGCCTTCCATCACTCTGGAATTGCTCTCACATAGAGTTTTGCTGGTTCAGTCGTGCTCTGTCATGGTCACAGAACCTAGAAATAGCATCTTTGGGGTAAAACCCAACAAACAGATGGGTTGTGTTTGGTGAGGGTTTTTTGTTTAGGTGTGCTGTTTTTAGCAATGGCCGTTCCATACTTTTGTCTAAATGTGTGACGTTCCTTCTGATTCCTCTCCTATGTTCCTTGCAGGAATATGAGCAAGGTATTTTTGTTGCACCCTTCCTTATACTGGAGGGGAGAAAGAAGGAAGGAGGGAAGGGAGTGTGAAATAAATGCTTATATCACAGGAAAAGTTTTAATACCAAATTTGTTGGTGTTCTCTGATACTCAGCAATTCACAGGTCCCTGGGAAGGCAGAACTATTTTTTTTGCCTTCATGGGAAGGCCAGTCGTGTGTCTTCAGTGTGTGACAAAGCATCTGAGTGCCACCTTCCTCTTATCCCTTTGTAGCCTCAAGATCTGGAGCAGTCCCTACTAGCCAAGCTGATAATGACTCCAGAAATCCCCCCCGATGTGGTTCTGGACAGACGCCTTTGCAGTTTACCACCACTGGAGAGAGGTTGTTTGGTGGGAGTCTTTGTGGAACTCATCGTCTCTCCTAGCCAGTTCTACATCCGCATCTGCAGCCAGGAAATGTCTGATAAACTGCGGGATATGATGATCGAGATGAGGTGGGAACATGCTGTGCCACCGGTTCAGTACGACCGCCCGTTGCGTGTGTGCTTGCACTGAGGGAGCAGGGCACCCAGCTTGGGTTACGGTCACTGCTGGGTTCCTTGGTGCAGAGCTGCACTCAAACACACCCTCACGACGCTTTTAACTTGCAGGTGTGGTTGATAGCAACTCACGGTCATTTGGCTGTCCTAGGCAGTCCTGAAGTTCAAAAGTCTGGAAAGGTTATGGAAGGGAACTTCAGAATTCCTTTGCATCTCTCTACTGTCTGTGCTGCTGTTGCTGATGTGCTCAGTTAAGGCTTTTACTCCCACCTCCAACACTTAGGAAAAAGCAAAGCCTCTGTCATGCCTATATTGGAAAGCGAAACCCCGTCGGTGGCTTTGTTTGGGTCAGTTACACTGTGCGTTTGGGATTCTGTTCCGCAGTGACAGCGCTACAGTTGCTGTTAATCGTGCACCAAAGTGCGTGCTTGATGTCCGTGAGGCACATGTAAGTGTGATAACAGACTCTGCAGGCAGATACTCTGTGTGTGAGCCAGTACTCCTGGACCTGATTCGTAAGAAGCACTGACGTGTCAAGGTAATGTTAAAAATTAATGACTAGAATGACTGTATTTAGCCTTTGATTAAGCCTCATTCATTCACCTTTTTGTTGGACCCCAGGAACGTAATCCAAATGTGACAAGTTTGGTTTGGCGGGGGTTTTTTTGTCACTTCAGTTCAAGTGTGACAGAACAGAGATGTAAAGGATCTGTTAAAACAACTCCTGAAAATACGTGTCACAGGGACTTTGGGAAATCGGGATTCTTCTGATGCCCCGTTCCTTTCTCTTTGTTCATCTCCTGCATCCTGCCAAGCACGGTTTCTCCTTGTGATCTTTTGCAGACACTGTTACTCAAACAAACTTGTTTCTGACCGTTACATCATGCCCGAGTCTTCAGTACAGCCTGGACAGCTTTGCTGTGTAACGGACTCGAAGTGGTGGTACCGCGTTATCATCCACCGTGTGATCAACGACCGGGAAGTAGAGGTGTTCTACCCAGACTACGGAAACCTTGAAATCGTCCGCAAGTCTTTGCTGAGATTCCTCAAGTAAGTGACACACGGGTGATGGGATCACTGAGTGGTTGAGGTTGGAAGAGACCTTTGGTCATCCTGTCCACTCTCCCTGCTCAGGAGGGATGGCTAGAGCAGGCTGCACGGGACCATGGCAAGATGGCTTCTCAATGTCTCCGCGGATGGAGACTCCGGGCAACCAGTTCTTGGTAACCCCAGAGTGAAAATGCTGCTTGCCAGCTGGTCGGTCCCCGTCGTGTCCTGGCACCTGATGATGTTCCTCCCCAAGCACAGGATTGTGTTGAACTTGGGTTCCTGTCTGCACGTTTCCCTGTCCTGTTGCAGTCCCCTGGGGTGGCGGCATGACCCTCTGGTGCCTCAGCCGCTCCTCTCAGTTTGGTATCGTCAGCAGACTTGCTCTGCCCCTTAATACAGATTGTTGATGAAGGTGTTGAACAGTGTTAGACCTTGCAGTGGCCGCTGGGTTACACTGCTAGCTCCTGGCCTCCAACAACTGGACTACGGATCTGCCCTCTCTGGGCCTGGCATCTGCAGCTGGTTCTCCATGCAGCTCCTACTTCCTTAGCTTCTCCGGCTAAGCCAGTTGTTTCCCTGTAGAAAGCCATCAGGTTGGTTAAGCCTGACTTCCCCGTGGTGAATCCGTGCCGGCTGCTTCCAGTCGCCTTGTCTTTCATGTGCCTGGAAGTGGTTCCCAGGATTAGTAGTTCCATCGCCTTCCTAGGGATCGAGGTGAGGCTGACTGGCTTGTGTTTCTTCAGAAAGGCATCCCAGCATGCAGATTTCCAAGGAAGGATCTGGGTTTTTATTCCATAATGGTGCCTTGCAGCCGTTTCCTTGCTTACATGCCTGAGGGGACATTGTTTAAGACCTGTTTTGCTGATTGCTCGGGCCGCTTTGCTCGTCAGCCCTGTCCGTTACTCCCTCACAGCGACGTTGGGCTAAATCCTTTCCTGTTTCTGCCCTCACTCCTCCGACTTTCCTCTTGCTGCTTGCTGTCACTTTGGGGTAAACTCGCTACTCCTCCTTCCTGGGTTCCGAGAATGGATGTACGCCTCCTGAACAGCCGTCAGCCTGAGCGGGATGCCTTTGCAGCATCCGGGGTGCTTGTTCTCCTCTGCAGTTCAGTACCTTTTGCTTCTTGCCCCTCTCGCTTCCATCCATGTCTGGCCACTGGCATTATTTGGCACAAAAGTCACTGCGCTGTCCATAACTTTCTAATCCTGAGAGGATTTGATGGGAGGAAGCTTGGGCAAAGGAAGGCATCAGGAATCAATTCTTACTGCTGTTTCCGTGCCCATTCTCTGCGTATGGAGTGTTTGCCAAAGCTGCTGTTGAGTTTTAGTTATAAGTACAAAATCTGATGTGCTGCTTTATTCCTAAACTGATTTTTAAAACCCAGAAGAGGGGGAAGTTCTGCTCTGCTGCCTGTTTTTGATGTGTTTTTTCTGGAATGATGGCTTGCTTCTGTATTGCAGGTGGTGCTACTTGAAACTCCCCGCTCAGGCCATCCCGTGTTCCTTGGCGTGGGTAAAACCCGTGGAGGTATGGGTTCGTGTGCAGTCTCATTTCCTGATGTAAGAGCCACAAGTAGAGGTTGGCTTTACCTTCCGAAAAGGGCAAACCTTTGGATTAATTCAGGCCCCATTGATGTTTTCAGCAGAATTTCTGCCCTGTTCAGCAGAGAAATGACTGTGGAAGTCTCTCTGTCTGCAAGGTAGACAGAGAGACTCTGCCTGTAGTTCTCCAGAGCCCTTCCGAAGCCTTGGTACCTCCAGCCCTCTGTTTTAGGAATTTCTTCTGGGATGGAGCTTTAAGTGAGTTGGTTTGGTGCAGTCAGCGTAGCCAAAGGGTTGTAGAGGCCATCAGAAAGTGTCTGTGTGCTGGTCAAGAAGCCTGAGACATACGGTCTCCCAAGGAAAGCGTGTGAGCAGAGGTGCTGTTTCTGTGTGGTAAAGATATTTTTTAAATATTCTTTCTTGTGATTCTTTAACCCTCAAAACCCACAGTTTACATTAGCAGCGTCTTAAAAATTTCTGATGCTGTTAACGTTTATAATCACGTGATTCCAGGAATTAAAACCATACAAACCAAAACCCACAGCGGTAGTTTAGGCAGTTGTGATAAAATACGTGGTGGATGCCATCAAAACGTGTTCGAAAACAGATACTGAGGGTGGAAGGCCGTTGCCAGTGTAATCAGCATTGCAGGCTTTGGGGCAGTTGGATTTAGTTCAGGCCTGGGAAGCTTGTCTGCCTGGTTTTCCTAGTTTTGCCCCTAGCCCGACCTAGCTAATTACCTTTTGGACAAGTACCCACAAGGGAAAGTCTCAGGCGGAGGATGTTGGTCTGTTTACTCTTGTTTCTTCTGCAGGGTGTGTGGTCCAACGCAGCAACCCTCCTCTTCAAGAAGCTGTGTGTCTCCAAGCTGCTCGTGGGCATCGTGGATGAGTACGTGAACGGCATTTTGCATCTCTTCCTGTGTGACACGTCCACCAAGGAGGATATCTACTTCCACTGCGTCTTGAGGGATGGGGGGTGCGCCGATGTCTGCGGAGAGAACCTTCCTTCCCAGGTGCTGCTGGAAGGAAGGGCAGGGAAAGGATGGATTGGGTGCCTGTAATGGGAAGATCTTGAGCTGGAAGCAAGTTGTGAAGAGTAAAACTGGTATTCCCTGCTTTCCGTAACTTGCCCTTTTGTGACAGCATCCCACGGTGTCAAAGTCCGTGGTGGGAGCTTGCTTTAAGAGAAAACTGAGGTGGAACTGGGAGGCGGTTAAGGGTTGTGTTAGTTACTTGGCTACATGTTGTTAATTCCAGCAAGTTTTCCTAGGCATAATTTAGGAGGCCCCTCATTCATCCGAGCAATTAACGAGATTGTTCAAAGTGGCAGGGGCAGTTGAGTGCAGAACAGGATAGTTAAATTGGTTTATTCAGGTTGTGAGCTGGTGCAGGGGGCATTTATGCCGAGTAATTTTGCTCCTGAAAGGGGAAGGGAGTTGATTTTCATACTAAGACTTAAAATTTCTGCGAGAATTCCGAGCTACCTTGTGGGTGGCGTGCCTCTTCGTAAAACCTTTCAGACGTTTGCTGGATCCTTCTTATTCTTTGTGGTAGTTACAACATGGTTTTCTTGACTCTACTGAGTTTTTTGTTTGTTTCTAGGGATTCCAGGAACTGAATCCCTCGGCCTTGTATGTTCAGCCCAGTGGAAAGCAGGAGAACACTGAGCTGGTAGAGCCAGACGTTTGCTTGCAGCAGGAATCTCTGGATGTAGACAGTGAAAGAGCACCCTCAAAGCTGGATGGGGATGAACTGTGTGGCCAGGTGGGAGTTTGGCTGTGGCACAGCTGTCGTTCACTGCAATTGGTTTAGGATTGGTGTAGTCCCATGCAGGTTTTTTGTGGAGTTAGTTTTTGGCTTTTATAAAAAGCAAGCGGAACCACAATATGAAAACAATTACACGTGAACCCTAAATACATACCTAGCTGCTTGTCCTCTGATCCCTGTGCAGACTTCAGGGAGTCCTTGAGCTCAGTGATTTCTCTAACCTCCAACATGCCCCATAATTGTTCAGTTGGAGAATGGACTCTTGAGAATTCAGACTGGTACCAGACTCTCGAGGTCTGTTTGACTTGGCGCTTTCATGGTTTGCGCCCCAGGAGCCACAGTGGTGTGTTTTCCCCTCGCATCCCTGGAGTTTGGCAAAGGATGTGTAATAACTTGGGGTGTTATTTAGGTGTGGGAAGAGACCAGAGGAACTAATGGGGTGTTATTTGCGTTCAGGGTCTTGCTTGTTCTAGACTTAGCTGAACGGAAGCGGTTTGCCATCCTGGTTGTTGCAGGGAGTGAGGTTATGTACAACTGCAGTTTTACTCAAAAGATGAAGGTGAACAATATCCAGATCTGGATACTGCTTTTCACCTTGGATTTCAGATTTTCTTAAAAAGAAGAGCCCCTTGCTTATGAACAGATGGAGAAACTGATGAACAGAGGGGTTACGCAGGGAGCAAACCCCAGGGCTTGACTGCAGTCTAATGTAGTACGCCAGGAACGCTTGTCTACAGGTGACTCTGCTTTTCTGTGTTAAGTTGTAGTGTTTTCATGACACATTTTACTACAGGGGCCAAAGCACCTTTTCAAGTAAATGTCAGCTGTTGAAGTGTCCAGCAGTGATCTGCTCTTGGGCTGTTTTTCTGGTGTCATGGTTTAATTCCGGCTAGCA